TGAATTTGTTATGAGAAATGGAAGAAGGTGCTGCGGCTAGCGCGGAGGCGGGGATGGTGCCGGAACCGGTGGCCGCCATGATAGAAGGCTCCGCCTGCTGTAGAAGCCATTGAATAGTCTCGCCGTCGGACTTGTGACCGAGCTCGCGAGTCAGTTGAAAGATTCGAGCGGCGCAGAGAGCTGGCATGCGGATCCTACGCCCGCGGCCTTCGACTTTAGTGTGCCGATCCTTGTTGGAGCTTCGCTTGGGAGCAAGCTGCTTCCTTTGCTCGTCTTTATCCACCGCACTGGTAGGCTCTCTCTCAGCTAAGGAAGAAGTGGAGGGAACGAGGGGTTGGAGGTCTCTGCTATCTCTTGAGGGATCCCTTTTATCTGGGTTTAGGAGAAACTTTGGTTGCTCCGGTGGAATATTGGAAGAACTCTTGGGATCCATGATGGTGAAAAAGAAGAAAAGCTGCAGTTTTTGGGATTTGGATGGAGAAAGGAGGAAGCTTTGATGAGTTTCGACTGGAATTTTTACCAGTTAATAGGATTAGATTGGGGGAGGCGAGGTTGGGAGAAGGGAAAGCGAGAGAGAGAGAGGATGACTGCTTTCAGACTACTGTTGATTAAAAAAAAGTAATCTTTAGCATATTGATTTACCGTTCTTCGTTTTGAGAGATGGAACCGTGCAAGTGACTGAAGAGTGATTCAGAAAAGTTGGAGGGAAGATGAGGGGGACACCATGACTGATAGATAGGTGTTGGACTGAATTGGGCAAAAGAGGATTGGGAAGAAAAAGGAAGCAGAAGTGAAGCCTTTGGAGACAGACACGGCCGAGATTGCAGGGGTGTGGTTGAGATTCAGGATTATTATTATTTTATTATTATTATTTTTTTTTTTGACAGAGTTGGCAGAGTGAAAGTTTTTAACCAATTAGGGCATAAAATTTAAAGAAAATTTATATACATGGCACCCAAATTTTCTGTATTTACTTATCTCACACTTAAACTTTAACTTTTACACCTTAAGCATCCTAACCTATATATAAAAGAGTGGTTTTTGGTGATAATATT